ATTTTCCCTCCTTCCCACCTACAAATGCATTACTGAATAGAATAAAAATAGAACAATATGTTAATGGTGAACAAGTGATCAGACGACTCACCAGAGCAGGAATATGGATTGAGATCACCAGTGCATCATGGATGGCAGTGTAGTATTTGTTGCTTCCCAAATTAAAAATACCTTGCCGTATTTCAACCTGCTCTATTTGTAAAAATCCAAGTTTTCTCTGACATACAATAACATATTTGATTAACTAATTTTTTTTTTTTCTTTCTATTTTTAATTTCCATTGACCTCTTGGTGGCAATTGTACAATCCTAAGAGGGGCTCACATAAAATAAGAGGGAAGATTTCAATTAACTTTCATGAAACCAGATTTTTACCCAGTTGGTATAAGTTTCTGTGACTGTCTAGCATAAGCACTGAAATGTTACACATGCTTCTGAAATGCATGTTCCTCTTCCATTAATATAATTCAGCTGTATTAATGGATGTGATATCAAGATCTAAGGGATGGAATCTCTACCAGCAAAACACTTAAGGAGTTTCCAGCGTAGATCTATTTCTGATGTAGCTCCAGAGTGATGGACATTACCTGAAGTCTATTGGAAACAATGGAAAATATCCAGCAAACTCAAAGATTTTTGATCACGTACATTTTTTAATTTTTATTTTTACAAAAATACCTGTGTGGAGACAGAATAGAGAAAGGAAAAGCAAAGATTGCTAGTTCCCATACTAATGCATGAGTAATCATGAGCACAACGGCAGCTTCTGTAACAAGATGTAGATTGAAAAACTTTTCCTTCCACATTCAGTGGTTTAGTGCAAAAGGAAGAGTATGGCCCAAGGAAACAGATGGAAGAACATTTCTGACAGCTTAAGTGCAGTTAATCACTCGCAGACAAAGCATTCTGCTATCAGCATGGACTTGCAGTATCTGAAATAGCACCAACAATTTTATTCAGCATTGCTACAACTACCTGACTGTGACAGAGCAACACCTCACCAACAGGGCTGCCAGGAACAGGCAGCTACAGGCCAGCACAGTGTAGCTACCCCTTTGACAAGCAGTTCGTTCAGGTCTCATCCTCTCGGTTTATCCATCTCCTACCTTTTCCTTTAAGCACATTCCACAGTAATGGGGGAAAAAAGTGTGATACGTATGGAAAGATTGCACAAGCTGGGTATCACCTTGCTCGCTTTCGAGATGGTGTGAATGAGAAAAATGAATACGCATTTAAGCATGTGCTCATTGCACATCTATTTTCTTATTACTTTCATGGGAGTTATCTGTATCACCAGAGGACATGAGAGAAGAAAACCGCTGTTCCTAAGTAATGACATTCCTTCCAGGGACACATCTATTTTCTTATTACTTTCATGGGAGTTATCTGTATCACCAGAGGACATGAGAGAAGAAAACCGCTGTTCCTAAGTAATGACATTCCTTCCGGGGAAAGAGGAAGGAAGGAAGCAGGCTTGGGGAAGAAATCTCTAGCCTTCACCAACCAACAAGGAGGAACTAGAGACAAAAGGGATAGCACAGATTATTTTTCTTTTAGAAGTATGACATGGAGAAGAGGCTCCCTTATGAGCAAATATCACAGCATTTTTTCTTTTCTCCACCAACAGCTATGCAATTCTTTACTTCACTTGTTTTTCTCAAAGTATGTTTAGCTTATGTTTAGCCAGATACATGGCCAGGGATTCAGAGGGCAACAGATATATTGTATTCCTCATTCTTCCTTCCTCTGCTTGTGCTTCTTCTTTTATAATATGGCTGGTAAGCCTAACAGAGAAACTGGCAAATCTGTTCTTGAGAACAATCACTATATGTGGCAGCTACTGTTCAGAGGCCAGACCACACAGCCACAACACAGAAGAATCCAGAGTAAGTTTCTGGACTTTTCACAGTAATCATACAACAGAACTATCTGACTTCAGATAAATACTTTTTTATACCCTTTGACAAATCCAGGAAGACAACCTTGTCATTGTAGGAATGAATTTCAAAGAATTTGAAGAAATTCAAAACTAATTTAAATACCAGTATGAATATGGTACCTGTCACTGCAGCAGGCAATGTGCTACTGGGCTGCAGCCAGGTGTTTGTAGTCAGCTGGAGTAACCCCACAAGGTACTGCAGCCCACCTGGGCAACAGCACAGTGCAAGGAATGTGCTGAGGGCTGTATCTTACTCTGTTGATTGCAAGGTTAACAGCACTAGTAGCTTCTAGATAATGCCAGACATCTTAGAAGGTCTCATTACTCGGGAGTTCTGAGTTGGAGACGTCTCACATAAAAAACTTCCTCCAATTGATGCTTTGGCCAGCTTCACAAATTATTTCTGATCAGAAGAAGCTTCAACTAAGTTCAATGAAAGGGAAAGTTTCCTCATATTAAATATTTTTTCCCACTAGCTTTAAAGTAAGGGTATTCTGAATAGAAACAAAATGCTACTGGGAGCAGTGGGATTACTTTTTTGAATAAGGATTATTGTAAGAACTGTGAATATTAGCTTTCATTGTCCATTCACAGTAAGGACTAGTTACTCTCCAGAATACTCTGAACAGCTCTGATCATCCACTCTTAAGAAGGCTTAACTTGAGTGGAAACACAACAGAGAAATCCTTTAAAGAAGACATTAAGAATGGAGAACTTTTCTTTGGGAGGATGGGAAAGGAGATGGTTCACTTCTAAAAGAATGGAGGGTGAAAAGGACTGCTCTCTCTATGTATCTGGGTCTTAAGCAGCATGAGATAAGGTTTATTTAGGCTAATGTTGCCTCAAAAGCAAGTGGAATACATTTTCCCAGAATAAATTTTCTCTGGGAATGCAGAAAAACTTTCTAGTACTGGAGCAGTGAAATACTGGAAATGCTTGCTTAGAGCAGTAGTGGGATCAAACAAACTGTTCTGCTTTCAAGTAGAGTTCAATAAGTGCCTTGATAGAATTGTCTGAAATAGAGATCCTCTTCTAAATTACCTAGCATCCCCATTCAAGCATTATGCCCTCGAAGTCACCAGAAGCTATGTTCAGAAGGCCTACATAGGCTATGTCTCTACTTGTAAATTAAATAACGTCAGCACTTGGGACAACCTGATCATCTAAATACTGTTAGAATGACCCCTGGAATAATTTTGTGCAGGCCAGCTAGCACTCTTCCAAGCAATGCTCAGGCATGATATGGGAGTTGGCATGGTCCAGGAGCAGACAGTTTGCATGCAGCAACTGCTTTGCAGGCTAACAGGATTTAATTTTGCTAACGTAGCCAAATCAAACCAGAGTCTTGGCACTGTACACATGCAGTAACTCCAGCTCGGTATGGACCTTGCCAGAAATTAGATTACTCCATTCAGCCATTCCTTCTGCACCATGCTCTGAAACAGCAGTTAGCAAAAAGGCCATATTGAATGTGAGACTGCATCTCTTCTGCTGAAGTTCTGTGCCCAGAAAAAAATGTCCTCAGAGCTTGCTATGGGAACAACAGCCAGACCAAATATGGCAGGGTCAACAATGACCTAGTGTTAATAAGACCAACTGTAAGTAATCTGGGACACTTTGCCCAATCAAGATGAACCTCTCTGCACTGTCCTCTGCAGCATCTCTGGTAGCAACGTACCTTGTTAGTTCTTTCACAATGCAAGATCCAGGTAGTCTTTGTGCATGCACTGCTGTTAGTCTTTATCTTACAGGCTTGCTTACTAATTAGAACACCAGCAGCTGCACTGAAGTACCTTAGTGACTTTGAGGGAACCAGCCCTGGTCCACTAGGTTTAGAGCTGAAATATATTTAGCAGCAGTTTTGGACACTGGATGCTTCTGACCTGTCAATCAAACAGATTAAGCTAAAATATAAACAGATTATAAGTATTTATGTAGATCTGTATTTGTATATACATACATATATATATATAAATACATATATACAGCCCATATATGTGAATTTAAATCAGAATTATATGAAAAAATTTTAAGACTTTTAAATTATAAAAAAATTAACATATTTCAATATAAACCTCATACAAGACAAAAACATTTTGTATATTTGTTTCAGCTTAAATTTGACAGCAGAAATAAAACTGCAAAACAGAACTACAGACCATGATTAGCTGGTCCAGTATTTTATTATCCAGCATGGTAATGAATGTAATACCTATGTTTCAATCCTCCTTAATACATGTAGCTTTTTTTTTCTTTTTTCCTTTTTCTTTTTTTTTCTTTTTCTTTTTTTTTCCCAGAGGAATACCATTCTTATAAGTGCTTGGCATGATTAGGTCAAACCCATGTATATATACATATCACTGTATGTCACTTCACAGATGAAGTATGGAAATATGCTGGATGTTCACCTACAGAAGTAAAGTATCATTATAAAACAAAAAACTGCAACTGCAAATTCTTTTGTTATTATGGGTGGGGAAAAAAAATCAAAACACACTGAAGCAATTCCACAATATCCAACATCCCTGTTTGATAAGTGTCATGCACTGCAGAACGGTCACACATCTTATCTGAACGCCAGTCAGTTCTCATTTTCAGAATGTGTTGTGTAGCTCTTCTTTCCCTGTAAGATGATCTTGCCCTCTGCTTCCTCAGTCCAGAACAGTAATTAAGAAAAGAAACCTTGCTCCCTGGAAGACAGTAGGGACTACACTTTATAATTAATCCACTCAACCAACCAGCATTATCCCCGGAGAGGTGAATAGCTGTGTAACTTGGCCCACCTTGTTGGATTTTCTTGTTTTGTTTAGGTTTTGAAAGTTATTTACTGCAATAGAAAGAGAAACAGGAGAGAAACACAGTTAACTCAGCCATTCTCCCATGGTATTCTTCTTCTTGCTAGGTCTCTCATATACTCTATTTACTTCTTGGGTTCAAAGTTTTCCTCTCTTTGCCTTTTTTTTTGTTATGTTGTTTGCTGTTTTTTTTAAATCATGTTTCACTTGGCTCACTTATCTGTGCATCTTCTTTGTTGTTTTTAGTCTTTATTGATGATCTTCCAGTTAAGAGCTCACCAAAGTGTAGATCATGCTGAAAGTAAAAGAAAGACACAATATGAAAGTATCCTTTTGAAGCACACAGAGCACTTTGATTTTCATAACCCTTTACTGTCTGTTCCTCAGGCCTAGACTGTAATGGCCTTTCCTTTGCATTCTATCTCTCTAAAGAATCTGTCCTGGTTTGAGCCAATTCTCTTTCTACTGATTTTTTTTTCTTCAGGGAGCTCTCTTTTAGCTAACAGCAAGTTTTCCAGCTAGTGGACTGATAATGCTCAAATGTTCATGTTACAGCCAAGAGATCAAGGATAATTTTCTCTGATTTAGATGTTAAAGGAGCAGGAGAGTCATATCTGCAACCCTCCCATAGGGAGGAACAGACTAGATGGACAGTAAAATTGGCCAGAGATATTCCATCCCATATATATACAAGTAAGACTCAGTATAAATTCAAGGATCATTGAAGTCAAGCCATTTTTCCTCCTTCCCTGCTTTTCCATCAGTGGCTGAGTCCAGATGGACCCTAACCCTAACCCTAAGCCAACCCTAAACCAGACCCTAACCCTAACCCTAACCCCAACCCTAACCCTAACCCTAAACTAACCCTAAACCCAAACCCTAACCTTAACCCTAACCCTGACCCTAAACCTAACCGAAACCTAACACTAAACCCAAACCCAAACCCTAACGCTAACCCTAACCCTAACCCTAACCCTAACCCTAACCCTAACCCTAACCCTAACCCAAACCTAACCCCAAACCCTAATCCTAACCCAACCCTAACACTAACCCCAAACCCTAACTCTAACCCTATAACTACCCCACCCTAACCCTAGACCCAAACCGAAACCCTTACCCTAACCCTAACCATAACATAACTCTAACCCTAACCCTAACCCTAAACCTAACCCTAATCCTAACCCTAACCCTAACCCTTACCCTAAGCCCCTAACCCTAACCCTAACCCTGATCCTAACCCTAACCCTTACCCTAACCCCAAACCCTAACCCTAACCCTAAACCCATACGCTAACCCTAACCCTAACCCCTAACCCTAACCCAACCCTAACCCTAAAACCAAACCCTAACCCTAACCCAACCCTAACCCTAAACCCTAACCCTAACCCTAAACACATACGCTAACCCTAACCCTAACCCCTAACCCTAACCCTAACCATAAACCTAACCCCTAACCCCAAACCCTAACCCTGACCCTAACCGTAACCCCTAACCCTAACCCTAACCCAAACCCTAACCCTAACCCAACCCTAACCCTACACCCAAACCCTAACCCTAACCCTAACCCTAACCCTAACAATTCCATCTCTCCATCACTGTTGATCCCCAGGCCCGTGCATTCCTGACCCTCACAGCTCTCCCCTCAGCTCCTGTCTGCTCTGCTGCTCTCTCCAGCAGCTCTGGGACATATCAGAACTGCTCACAGCTCAGGAGGTGCCGTGGGAGTTGCTGGGGGTAGAGGGAGGTAATAGGTTTTGGCACATTCCTGAACACATTTGTTTATATTTGTACAGCTATCTAGTTTAGTTTTCAATCTGATGAGTCCCTCTCTCTTTATTCTCTCTCTTTTCCTATCTGGGTGGGAGGTGGTGGGGAATGAGAGCGTTGTTGTCGCTCTTTTAATTTTTGATCCTGAGTCAAACCCTGACAGCATCTTAGTATTATGGTGTATTCAAGATGGGTATCAAAAGCTCTCAAGAAATAACATTCATTATCGACATCCTACAGCTTTGTTTGAGCTTATTGAAGTGCAGTCTGATGCCTGAATTTGAACACTGAAGAAACAAAACCATTTTGCTTTAGCATGTTTGATCTTTCAAACTTCAACCAGCAACTCTCTGCCTAGCATGCAAAGTTTCCCATGGAACTGCATTATTTTTTTTCTCTTGGGAAAAAACCTCCATGCAGTAGAAGAAACACAAAATGCAGACACCAGCTGGAGTAAATCCATGCATATGAAATGCAACTCTGAAAAGCAATGAAATCACAGTATATTGCCACTGCTCTGTTTTACTGCAATTTAAATTCTGACCATACCAAGGAAAGCAGAGCAAAATTGAATGTAATTAATACTACTTTACTTAGCATCAGGTAGTGGATTTTCACTTATGGCCACATTTTAGAATGAAGGAAACGGGGCTCAGAGGGAGCTGCACAATAGTAAAGTCCCAGCAGAAATGCCAGACCACACTAAATAGCTGGCTTTCACAGGGTTTTTAGCCTACACAGGAACGTGGGGGTAAAATGCTGCTTCTCTCTCCAGCAGTGCCTTGCCAGCTCTCCCTGCATTACCAACAGAGCTTGTCTAGCATAACTGCCAGGCTTTTCACTCTTGCCCCCATGAAGACAACTCAGCCCAAACTCACAAAGCTACCAGATACTGAGCTCCTGCCCAGATTCTCATGCCCCATCAGTTCCAGTGTGAGTTAAGCAGCTATCGGCTTCTGTGAGTCCAGGCCCTTCTACTTTCTTTCACTCTCTCATTTATGCAGACACAGGCAGATACATGTGCACGTGGGGACAGGAAATTTTGTTGTAAATAACATTTAAAAGTAATACTGAGAAACAACACCTGCAGCAATGACTCCTCAAGGTACAGGGAACAAGAGAATGGGTAATGGACCAGTGATCAAAGCAGAATTATCATTTCTGTTCTTCCACTAGTGTACAAATATGTTACAGAGGGATTACTGCATGCAAGACTGGCTTGAAGAGGCTCTCTATGCCAATACGTTGTGGAAGAAGGAGTAGAAGAAGGGGTTAACTAAAAGCATAGGGATTCTGCAAAAGCCTTGCCTTAAATTTAATCCTCACATATTCTTGCACTGGGCATTTGTGACTGTCACTAAGGACATCTGACAGCTGAAAGGGGCAGGGGGTACAACATACAACTGGGGTACATATCATCATGTACTTAAATTAGGGGTTTGGGCCATGCACGGGCTTAGCTTGTAATGAAAAAGAAGCTGTAGCTGAATGACTGATAGGCATGATGCAACTCATGTTCCTACCCACTGTCTACCTACCCATTTAATTACCATCTTCAGCAACACTACACCAGTAGATGTAGTATTTTTCTTATGATTCTCTTGAATCATAAGAACATTGAAATTTTTATTTGATGTAATGTTATAACATTTGCTGTTCCACCCATTTTAAGATACTATGCAGAGGAACAATTTTTTTTTTCCTTGGGTTGCCCTTGGACTTAGATAAAATGCTTAATATTCTGTACTGGAGATGTCAGCAGATAGAAGCACATGCTGCTGTAAGTGGGACTGAGATCAGGAGCAAGTTTTATAAGATTGAGAAAATGAGCTAATTAGTTCCAGTCATTCCTAAATACAATTTCACATGTCAAATGAAGAGCAGTTGTTATTTAGTGAAATGACCAGACTTACCAGTACAGATAGTAGAAGAAGGAAAGAAGATAGAAAGCTAGCTTACACCAGGCCTCTTTTTGACAGTAACTCAAGGTATCTGCATTCATGACAGCAGGTGGGTCATATGCTAGTTCTGAACTATCTGCTGGGCAACGGAAATACCTGCAAGAGCAGAAGACATCTAGAATGACTCTGATGTTCTGCATTAAATATGTGCAGACATACACCCCCTTGATCACCAGTACAGAAGAGAATAATCTTCCATGCTACAGGAAGATTTTTTCTATTTTTCAAGCCAGACATTGTTAAAATCAGGACATCAGTCTAAGCAGAACAGTCTTAATAGAACCAAGCAAATTCATGATGGTGGATTTCCTGTGTTCTACTAATTTTTTTGACGGAAACATTCC